GAGCGAGACAAAGCATTAGAAAGTGAGAGAAAGAACGCGAGAAAGAGAAATGCGCAAGCGTGCTTGAATGTTCACCGCATGCGCACAAAGCAGCTGGAGAGAGAGGCTACTATATTGTCTGCACCGTAACGGTGAGCTTCAGGTCGGCACATAGTTGCAAACTCGAGCCGGCTAGCACCAAGAGCACCGAGGTGTTGGGAGCAACTGGGAACACGCACACAAGCGAGAACCGCCGTCCGTGTGCGTGGAACACACACTGAAGCTGACTTCTCGCTTGTGTGCGTGTTCCCAGTGGCTCCCAACACCTCGGTGCTCTCGGTGCTAGCCGGCTCGACTTTGCAACTATGGGTCGGCACCGTACTAGCAATATAGGAGTATTACATATATGCTATCAAGAGGCACGGGCTGCGTTTCGAGTTACGCATATGCGCGCATTTATCTATACTATACGTCACGTGTACTATAGATAAATGCGCGCATATGCATAACTCGGAACGCAGCCACGGTAATGCCTCGCGCTAACAAGGATGGGCACGAATTGCGAAATACGAAATTGAATGAGCCATAGTTCATTCGAAAGGGGAGGTCGAGGGTATAAAAAGTGTAAGAGGGTTTGATTGCATGGGCCTTATTTTATAAGAATTTTGCATGCAAAGTTAAGCGTGCGGCCAGCTGTACGTTAAGTAACATAAATAAGTTAGACTCAGCGTGAAGCGTCGTGGCTGCGGCCTAAGGCGCGCGCTCTGTAAGTTTTGGCGTCTATTGCGAGTTCAAAACCTCGCAGTGCCAACTTGTTTTTCATTATAACGACTATATCTATCAACTAAATTAATTGTTCTTATTTTTTAGAATAAAATAATAATAACGACGCAATTAATTAATTATATATAATAAAACCAAGAACGGGAATTTCTGTACTTCTTTATGTTTATTCATTGTGTTTTTATTTATTATAAGTTTCGAACATTGCTGTACACTGTTGTGGATGAAAATTAATATAAAAATATTGGAAACATAAATGTTTCACCCTTTTGTGGTTTTACTTCGTGTTCTCATAGCACGGAATAGAACCATGTCCACAAATTTAGCACGGCATAGAACCATGTCCACGAAAAGCTATCGCAGAAACTCTTATGGCCGTGGCCGCTCTCAGGCTTCTCTCTGGTCCCACAATTAACCGGTTAATCGTGACTGCGTTCCGATATTTACTGCTAGTACTAAACATCTATATTTCACGTCATATGTGCTATAGTTTTCAGTACCGGCAGTCAGAGGCTGCTTTTCTTTTAAGCCTGTTCTACATTGATCGCAAGCGCAAACGAAAGGAACAAGTCTGGTAGAATGGACTAATCGTATTGATCAAATCAGCCAATTGACCAGCGTGATTGGTCAATTCTACGAGATCTATACCTTGCGTTTGCGCTTGCGATCAATGTAGAACGGGCTTTAGGAGACACAAATCGACACAGATTGGTTTAGTTTCCACCGAACTCTCAATTCGGTTCCACTTCAGTACAGATCAAATTTAGTGTTCCATTGGAAGTAGAATAGAAGTGAGAAAAATTGATATTTCAGTAGAGCCAACTTAAAACTCGCTTGTGTAAATATAAACGGACATAACCTGAAAAGAATATAATTCGAGAAACTTCTAATTGACTCCGCGGAAATGATTCAATCATATATTTTATCTTTTTATTTTCAACTTGTATCGACTTCTTAACAAGACCCGACATAATGCAGACATAATAAAAAATAGAGGTTAGCATTATTTAGGTTCAAACGTTTCCACATAGACGTAGAATATATAGACTGCACGTTAGGCTGAAAAGAAGTCTTCATGGTTGACAGAAACAACATACTTTGAACAGTAACTCTTTCTCTGTCTATCAATGTCTGTGGTGGGATCAGGGCCTACTGTTTCATACCACCTACTCTACCATCACCCCTTAATCTCTTTCACTTTTCTTCACCCCCACTATTTTTCTATCCCCACTTTTCCATTGCTATTCTATCAATTAGCGAAGACTTCTTTTTCCCCCACTACTTTGCAGACAAAGATGGGGCTACTGTTCAACACCAGCAGTCTATACATTCTACGTCTATGCATATATGTAAAAATGCTGCAATAGTGCATATATATACAGTGAATCACAAAAATATTCGGACACTAAGATATTGTTACGTCATGGACTTCACGGTCTCTTTTTTTTTGAAACGTGGGAACGGTATGCCGGTCCTAAAATCGTAACTAACTGTAATCTTAGACATAAACTTCCTGGATGGAGAACGAGGATTCGGCCAGTGGCAGTAAACGAATTGTAATCAGTTTAGACGCTGGATATTGCCACGATGAGCCGACGGATTTGATTTCTAATTCGCAGTAAGACAAGAACGATAAAAGTTTTCGCACAACAGCCGAGGCGGGTAACTCGAATCGGGCGGATGGAAATCAAAGATCCTCTTATCTCCGAAAGAGAAGTCGAAATCAAAACCAAGTCAGTGGTTAGTCGCGCAAATTAAACATGATAGCGCGAAGCCGATAGCGAATTATAAACAAAGGATAGTTAGGCCGATTTGGCCGACGTCGGTAATTGGCGTTCTCGCTTGTGCGGATCTGCGAATCAAGATCCGATTTTTAATCTATATAATAAGAAGGGATTCAGAATCCAAATCTGATTGGCAAAACCCAAATATCTGGGGGCCGAAAAGCCAAGTATAAATGCTGGAACTTGGAGCTGAAGAGCGTCTTCACCTTGCACCATCCAGAGTAATCAAGTGTTGTATTCAAAGTGCGGTCTTGGTTCTAAGTAAAGACCAAAGTTGTGAAAGTGATCAACAAGTGGCGTCTGTATCTTGACAACGGCCACCGCTATCAGGAGCCAACCCAGCTTGCTACTCTGCAGATCCGATCCAGGTGGAGATTCCGGCATTTATCTCTCTCTCTCTCTCACTCAGCTTCAACAAGTAGTACACTGGAACTTCACTTATTTTCCCTCTCACTTATTTTCCCCCTCGCTTATCTTCCCTCAAAATCTCTCAGTTATATTCCCATTCTGCTTCTCNTTCGACCCCCACTCTCTCACTTAACAGAGCGAACGAAGCGTGGGAAACGGCGTGATTTTAAACAACTTTAAATGAAAAGGAATAGAAAAATATAATTCAAAAAGCATATTTATTCACGTTTTTACNATTACTTAAATGAGTAAACAATTTGTATTTCTCTACTGAATTTACATTGTTCTATAAGTAATTAGACTTGAAATAAGTTGTTAAAAATATGTATAAAGTAATAAAATATATATGAAAAGAAACGTAACAAATAGCAATTATTTTTACAGAGATTATTTTTACGTAACAAATATTTATTATTCTTACTTTTCTGAAGGTGATCAACTTTTTTAACATTTGTTAAACTTTACATTGTACAAATCATTATCAAGGAGATTTTGAATTAGAAAAACAGAAGTAATTTCATTTATGGTAGATTCAGTTCTTTTGTCAAACCATTTTCTGAATTCTTGAAAATAATGATAAGCTTTTTGTGTTTCGTCTGATGAGCTTGGAATATTCTCTTGAATATGTTCGTCTTCAGTCGATGATCCGCTGTTTTCATCTTGTTGTGTCATGCTCTGAAAAAAATAAATTTATTTAAATTTATATAGTTACATTATTGGACGCATTCAAATTTGCTTTTGTTATTATATATACGTACTTTGGTATTTTTTTCTTTAATAATGTTTCAAACAGTTGCTGGTCAGAAAGTTCACGCCAACTAGGAATTTCAGTGTCTTCATGAATCCATTCATCAACTTCTGCCAATGAAAAAATTTCAGAATCATAAATTCGATTTAACGTTGAAACAATGTTATTCGAAGTGTCATCTGTTGTGTCCAGAAGAACAATTTCGCCAAGTAAGTTCTTCCAAGCTTTTGACAGAGTTGTGAGAGTGACGGAAGACCATGCATTAGCAAGAGCAAAAATCGTATCAGAAAGATTCCATTGTTTTAGAAAATTTGGAATTCTGGAGGGATTAGCAAAGTCTGCCAATAATAACTTTCGAAGGAAAATTTGCTTGTAATGTCGTTTTAAGCTTTCGATGACGCCTTGATCCATCGGCTGAATCAAAGAAGTAACATTTGGAGGCAAAAACATTACTTTAAATTTTGAATTTATAGAATTCAACATTTCAGCTGATGGATGACAAGGCGCATTATCAAGGAGAAGTAGAAATTTTTCATCTTCTCTCGGTTCCGTGTTTCTACAGATGGAATAAAGACATTCCTGAACCACTTAATAAAAATATCACCTACAATACAAAAAACGATAAGAAAGTAAATAAACTATATACAAATGTTAAAAAAGTTGATCAAAAATTACAAGGTTTTATGAAATTGAGACAAACAAAAAATTAAAAAGTCGATAAAAAAGTAAGATAAAATAAAAAATNTCACTGTTGATAAAACAATAATATTAATTAAAATTTCAGGAAAATGTAGTGCAAAAACTAATGTGTGCTTAGATAAAATAACATTATACCACTCATCCATGCATTTTTTTGAGACATATAAATCACAGGCAAATGTGTGAGACCTTTGAAACATCGAGGATTGTTCGATTTTCCAATCAGCAACAAAGGCACCTTGTGAGAACCTGTAGCATTGGCGCAGTTTATTAGAGTGACTCTCTGTTTAGATTCTTTGAAGCCCAACGCTTCTTTTTCCTCTACTAGTGCCAAAGTTTTCTTGGGCAAAGATTTGAAGTATAAGCCGGTCTCATCTCCGTTGTAGACATTATCCAAGTTATATCTTTCTTCTTCAATAACTTGTTTGAAAAGATCAAGGAATTCATTTGCTCCATCGTAATCGGCAGACAATTGTTCTCCTTTAAAGCTGATTTGTCGGATTCCATATCGTTGTTTAAATCTGTGCAACCAGCCTTCACTTGCCTTAAATGTGTTCAACATTTTGGATTCAGAATTTTTTTGTTGGCTATTTATTTCTTCTTCTTTCTCATTGCCTTCTCTCTCTTGAGTTTTTTTCATTAATTCTTCATGAAATGTCAACGCTTTTTCCTTTATCATAGGACCAGTGATAGCTATGCCAAGACTTCTTTTTTGCTTGATCCATTGTAAAAGAATTTTTTCCAATAAAGGATTTTCTCCTTCATCTATTCTAGTCCTTTTCTTCATACTCTTCACTCTTTCTGACATTATCTGTTTATATTTTTTCTTTTTTTGTAGTATGTAGCCAACTGCTCTTTTAGTTATGCCAAATTTTATAGCAACGTTTGATCTCGCTTCTCCTTTTTCTATAAGCTCGATTACAGATATTTTTTCTTTCAATAAAAGTTTTTTGTATTTTGACCGTAGTTTCTGAACTTTTTCTGAAAATATGTACAAAATTAGTTTTTGTATTAAATTTTAACCTCACTTTCTATGAAGTTACAATTTAACACAAAAACTAACGCAAAAATCTTACTAAACCACACATTAAATGACATTGCCTTACCTCTGTGAACTTCTTGTTTTCCAGTTTCCATTTTAAATTCCCTGATAGCCAAGCATGTTTTGCAAAATCATGTAACTTAATGCTGAGCTGAAGTTTTCAACTAGTTGCTGTGTATTTGCTGAATACATGATGCATAGTCATACGTAATCGACAACACGAAAGCAAATTTGAGACATTTTGTGTCAGCAGATTCAGAGCAAACAAAGAGCAACTATTGCTCATTACGTTGTCA